TGGGAGGGAGTGAAGAAGCAGTGGGGCACTGTGGAGGGGACAGGATGGGAAAAAAACCAGAGTAAGGATGGAGGGCGGGTGGGGGATGGTGTTCAGGAAAGACTGAGCTGGGAGTCAAGGGACCTGTGTCTCCATCCTGGCCCTGCAATTCACCCTGTGGCCTTGGGCACACCACTCACCTTTCTTGGGCTTCAGTTTCCCCATATGCAGACTAGGGGTTTGGACTTAGAGTCTCTGAAGTGCCTTCCAGCCCAGACTGATTATGAGATCTGTGAACACCTATATGCATCTTGTCCTGTCCCTCATATCCATCAAGATCTCTCAGCTCCTTGCTCCTGCCATCATTTCCCCTCTCCAGCCTCCCCCAGACAAAGGAGTCTCTCTCTACTCACCTGGGAAGGCCCGGCTGGTTGAGGCATGGAGAGCAGGTGCTGCAGCCTGAGCCTGGCACTTGGGACTAATCCCTGTACAGCCTCTCAGAGTTTGCTGCCTGGTAGGTGACTCAGGCCCAGCCCAGCCCCCTGGAGGGGAAACCCTGCTCGGAGGGGGAGGAGTAGAAATCTGCCGGGGAGAAGTGGCAGAGGCAGGGTCAAGGGCAGCAGGCAGAATGTCTGAGATGGGGATGACTAGTTGGCCAAACACGACTCATCCAGGGGCGGGTAGCGGAAATTGCTGCCGTTCAAGTTTCCATCCCTTCTCATCGCGGCCAACTGCTCTTGTCTTTCCCCCTTGTCACCACTAGGTGGCACAAAGAGGCTGGGATGTTCCCCCATCTGATACTTTTACTCTCAGTTGGTGGGAGTATGACGCAGGTGGGGAGGGGTGGACAAGGGTCCCACCACGTGTCTCTCTCCTCTTCCCTCCCTCAGTCTTCTGAGGGGGCCCCCATGAGCGCTGGTCACCAGTGCCATCCTGGTACTCACCCCTAAAAGGAGGCAAGTGACCCCTGGTGATGGGCCAGGTACCTTGCCCAGGTGGGCTGTGGCCCTTCCACCCTGGATGTGCTCTGCCTCGTTGAGGCTGAGCCTGGGTCCTCAGGTTCTAGGCTGGGGTGCCGCAAGGGCTCGGGCTGGGGCCAGAGCACAGCGGGGCGGGTGCCTGGGGGGCCGCCGTCTCACAACCCGGAGGAAGCGCGCGTGAGCCCCGGCGCGCGCCCGGCTCCGTCTGCCCC